TTCCTAGTATTCAGAGAACACAGTTTGTGGAGAAACCTAACCCAAGAAATGAATATAGTAGAAGGAAAGAAAGAACTAAGTGTAATAATGTAAACTTCTTTAAGAGAAGCTGTGAAATAAATGTAGACAATGGTAAACCAAGTACTCTGAAATAATGATTACCAAAGATACCAATTTGCAGGCAGAAAATCAATAAATGCAAAAGCTTGTTATCTAGATATACCAACTGATTAGGCAAGATAAGTAAAAAAGAACAGAACACACAAATTACTAATAGTGCACATGAAATGAAGGCTGCTGGTAATGATAGCATGGGCTTGAAAAGGACCATAAACAGACATCATGAACAATTGCATGCTCATAAACTTGATGGCCTGAACAAAATGAACAAATTCAAGGGGAGAAGCCATCTACCAAACTACAGGAGAGAGAATACATTTGGAAGGGTTTGTAGGAAATACATTGACTCAGGGTTTGCAGAGTGGCTCAAGTAATCAGGAGGCCCTGAATTCAAACCCCACAAAAGAAGTAATTAAAGAATACAGAGTAAAATGTGAAGGTTACCCATCCCATGTTAATGGAGGGGGAAAATTTGTGCACTGAAAATGGCTATATTATTAAAGTGATCTACAGTTTCCATGTAACTCCATAGAAATCCCAATGACATTCCTCAGAGGAACAGAAAAAATAATCCTAAGATTCCTATGGAAGCAGAAAAAACTCAAAGAGGCCAACCAATCCTGAACAAAGAGTTATGCTGCTAAAAAAAAAATGCTGTAGTATCACAATACCTGACTTTGAATTTATAATATAGACCGCACAGTAACAAAAAATAGTAGGTAATAGGAAAACAAAAACCAAAGAAAATTGAGGCCTTCAATATTGTGTATATAGGTTTTTTAATATTATTCATCCATGAGGAAGACTGCAAGTATGTAAATTTCAGGAAAAATGCATGTTGCACTTTTTTTGTGGTATTGGGATTTTAACTTAGAGCCTATACTTTCTCATTTTCTCCATTCATTTGGATAAGGTTACATGCATTAATATTCATTCTCTGCTTATCAGAAGGGGGAAAAGACAAATGTAAAAGTCATGACTGAAATATTTATTCCTTTAAAAATCACATCAGGTCAATGCACCCGATTTCATCAAACATACCCTGAAGGATATAAAAGTATATATTAACTTCAACACAGTTGTTGTGGGGGACTTTGACACCCCACTATCATCAATAGATAGGTCATCCAAACAAAAAATCAATAAAGAAATCCTAGATCTAAAATATACAATAGATCAAATGGACCTACTTGATGTCTACAGAACATTTCATCCAACTTCTACAAAATATACATTCTTCTCAGCAGCCCATGGAACCTTCTCCAAAATAGATCATATCCTAGGGCACAAAGCAAGCCTCAGCAAATATAAGAAAATAGAAATTATACCGTGCATTCTATCTGATCACAATGCAATAAAACTAGAACTCAACAACAAAAGTAAAGACAAAAAACATGCAGTCAAGTCATTGCTTAATGAACAATGGGTCATTGATGAAATAAAAGAGGAAATTAAGAAGTTCCTGGAAGTCAATGAAAATGAAAACACAACCTACCAGAACCTATGGGACACAGCAAAGGCAGTCCTGAGAGGAAAGTTTATAGCCATGATTGCATATATTAAAAAGACTGAAAGATCACAAATCAATGACCTAATGATACATCTCAAACTCCTAGAAAAACAAGAATAAGCAAATCCCAAAACAAATAGAAATAATAAAAATAAGAGCTGAAATCAATGAAATAGAAACCAAAAAAAACCATACAAAGAATTAATGAAACAAAAAGCTAGTTCTTTGAAAAAATAAACAAGATCGACAGACCCCTGGCAAACCTGACTAAAATGAGGAGAGAAAAAACCCAAATTAGTAGGATCAGGAATGCAAAAGGGGAGATAACAACAAACACCATGGAAGTCCAGGAAATCATCAGAGACTACTTTGAGAACCTATATTCAAATAAATTGGAAAATCTTAAAGAAATGGACAGATTTCTAGATACATATGATCATCCAAAACTGAACCAAGAGGATATTAATCAACTGAATAGATCTATAACACAAAATGAAATTGAAGCAGCAATTGAGTCTCCCCAAAAAGAAAAGTCCAGTACCTGATGGATTCTCTGCTGAATTCTATCAGACCTTTAAAGAAGAACTGATACCAATCCTCCTTAAACTGTTCCACAAAATAGAAAAGGAAGGAAAACTGCCTAACACATTTTTTGAAGCCAGTATTACACTTATCCCAAAACCAGGCAAAGTCACCTCCAAAAAGGAAAACTATAGGTCAATCTCCTTAATGAACATTGATGCAAAAATCCTCATGAAATAATGGCAACAAATTCAACAACACATCAAAAAGATCATTCACCATGACCAAGTAGGCGCCATCCCAGGAATGCAGGGGTGGTATCTATGCACAATGGAATTTTATGCAGCCATGAAGAAGAGCGAAATGTTATCATTTGCTGGTAAATGGATGGAATTGGAGAACATCATTCTGAGTGAGGTTAGCCTGGCCCAAAAGACCAAAAGTCGTATGTTCTCTCTCATATGTGGACATGAGATCAAGGCAAACACAACAAGGGGATTGGACTTTGAGCACATGAGAAAGCGAGAGCACACAAGGAGGTATGAGGATAGGTAAGACATCTAAAAATCTGGATAGCATTTGGTGCCCTCAACGCAGAGAAACTAAAGCAGATACTTTTAAGCAACTGAGGCCAATAGGAGAAGGGAACCAGGAACCAGAGAAAAGGTTAGATCAAGAAGAATTAACTAGAAGGTAACACACATGCACAGAAAGTCAATGCAGTCAACTCCCTGTATAGCTATCCTTATCTCAACTAGCAAAAACCCTTGGTCCTTCCTATTATTCCTTTTACTCTCTTTTCAGCAAAATTAGAGATAAGGGCTACTCTGCTAGGTAGCGAGGGGGTGGGCGGAGAGGAAGAGTGGGGGGGAGTGTAAGGGTGGGGGGGGAAGTGGGTAGAAATGACCCAAACATTGTATGCACATTTGAATAAAATAAAAATAATTTAAAAAAATAAAAATCACATCAGATGGAGGACAGGGACCAGGTAACAATGGAAACAACAATGCCCCCTCCAAGAGTCTCATTGAAAGACAGCTGCATAGTATTTGCCAAGCAGAGTCTTTTTGGCTCTGTCTTCGTCCGTGTGGTTTCTCAAACTCATGCAATTGGTTTGGTAAAGGAAGTGCAGCATTTTGTCATTGGTTCTGTGCTGAGTTGAAACTGACTAAAATTATGTACAATTTGCCATCCAATCCTTTTCCTGAAAATGAGAACCCTTCAGTAGACTCCTGAGCCTTGAAATACCCACTTGGCAGAGGGGTGGCCAATGAAATTTTTTCTGAGGGGGAGTAAAATAATCAGACTTCTTATTCTGCCACGTACTCTGAATCCTATCCCTTTCCTTTGTAAATTAATACATTATCTTGGGACTCAACTTAAATGTCCCTTCCTCAGCAAGTGTCGGTACTCCTATTAGCTTTATTGCTTTCTTGAAGAGTTCAGTCATAAGAAAGAAATTCTTGTTATAGTGTGTTACCTGTAGTTTTATCAATTGTTGCTCCTTAAAAAGTGATATTCCTTCTTGCACTGAGATTGCCTTTAATTGTAAACAGCTTCTTTGAAGTGTGGATTTATAATGGTTGTGCTGAGACTCCTGGTATTTATAAAGGTGACAGTCAGTTTAGAATGTTCCATATGCATTCTTAGTGAGCACGTAGTGTGACAGGTTAGGGAGAAGAGAATCAAAATGTTGTACTCCTCCCACAATATGAGTGAATTCTGGAAGACAGTTTCAAATTAATAATTTAAATTGAACACCATAGGAGAGTCTTAGTTGGATTGAAGAAAGGGACAGTTACAGTGCTTGACAAGATAGGCTGCTGGAAAACAATGTCCCTTCCCTTTAATCCTGGCTCCATAGGATTTTGATATTGGGATACTTCTGCTTCCAAGTACCTGGGCCAAGTAGTTTAAGAGACCCCCATCTCCAGTATTTCCAGAGCTGAATAGACTGGATGTATGGCTCAAGTGGTAGAGAGGCTACTTTATAAGGAAGAAGCCTTGAATTCAAACCCCAGTACCACAAATAAAAGGCAGCAGAGATTAGGAGGATCGTGATTCAAAGCCAGCTTGACAGATAGTTCATGAGACCCTATAATGAAAGATCATTCACAAAAAAAGGACCAGTGGAGTGACTCAAGGTATAGATCTTGAGTTCAAACTCTAGTACCACAAAAGAAAAAAACGTGCATGTTGATCATGGAAACTGTTTGGAAACATCTGTTCCTCTTTCATTTTAGCTGATGAGGTGAATGACACCAATGTTCTAGACACAGTTGAATTTTGTCTTCAGACATTTCCAGGAATACAGTCTCAGGATAAGTGATTTTTGTTTGTTTTCTTTTTCTTTCCTTGTGGAAGTGTGATTTGAACTCAGGGCCTCACTTCACCAGCCCTAGTGATGTTAATTGTCTTGTGCAAGCTGAATTCCATTTCATCATTATGACAGAAATTACAGACCCACTCTTTAATAAAAATTGTGGAAGAAAAAAAATAAATAAAATAAAAGATTTTTTAAATAGCAAAATAAATAAATAAATAAAGATTATTCCAAAAGGAATTAATTTTGGAATCCAAGATGATTCCAAAGAAAAAAAAAAAGAAATTGTGGTGATTCAGGAGTATTCATTTTGTTCTGCTACTTCTGTTGTTTTCACAATCATTTTCAGGCTAGTATTAAAAGTGCTATATAAGAGATTGTGGGTTTTCATGAAGAGCACGTGTTTAATTGCCAAGACATGGAATCAGCTCTTTAAGAACACAGGATCATGTGAACACTTGAGGTCTAGATTTTAAGTACTGTCAGCCTGACCTTCCTCCTTGAAATATACTTGTCATGTTTTAGGCATCTATGACCTTTGATGACGTGTGTCAAGTTCACCCAGGGAGAGTGGGCCTTGCTGGATCCTTCACAACAGAAGCTGTACAGGGAAGTGATGGTAGAAATCTTCAGGAACCTGGCCTCTGTTGTAAGGATGACTTCATTCCCTTAGTCAATGGGAGAACCAGTGTTGGTTGCTCTTAAATGCTTTAGAATAATTTGGAATGTGGAAACCATAAATTCAGTGAATATACCAGGTCTTGGCTCATTATAACATAAGCCTACTTAGAATCTAGTAATTAATCTCTAGTAATATTATTCAAAATGTCTTCTTTTGCTGTCTCCATTTTATAAAAAACAGAGGATGATCAGATCATTGAAGAGGTTTACAAAAATTCCATAATAAGTCTAAGGTAATTTGCACTCACAAGAGAAATGAGCTTAAACACTGAAGGAAAGGAATGTGAAACAGGTCATGTGAAGGGGAGGTCAGTAGTGAGAGTGGAGAGGGTAAATGAAGAGGGTCAAGAGGGTATGGTTGATTTACCTTTACTGGTTGGGGGAAGGAGTTGTGGTTTGAACTCTGCCCTTGGAACTGGCAAGGCCAGCATTCTAACACGTGTCATACCTCCAGTCTCCTTTTCTCTGGGTTTGTGAGACATGGGGTTGTGAGAAATATTTCCCTGGTGGGCCTTGAACCTGGATCCTGTCTGTCTCCCCCTCCCTAGTAGCTACAATTGCAGGAGTCAGCCACTGTCCCCACCATATTTGATGTACTTTCTATACATGCCTTTAAATGGAGCACTGAAACCTTTTGAAGTTATTTTAAGGCAGGGAATGGGGTAGGAGAAAGAATATTGGAAGGGGATAAAACAAACTAGGAATTAATGCATGTATATATGGAAATCTCAGAATGAAATTCCATGTAGAAATACCATATAGTAATAATGTTCAAAAAGGAAGCAGAGAGAGCATGAAGTGTCATTTAAGAATCAAAGAGGATTATGGGTGTGTCCCAAGTGATAGAGCACATGCTGAATTGCAAGTGTGAAATGCTGAGTTCAAACCCAAGTCCACAAAAAAGAAGAATCAAAAGAGTCAGGATGAAATTGTATTTTTTTCTGCTGTGCTCAGGATTAAACCCTGGGCCTCCAGCTTGCTACACAGGCGCTCTACCACTTGAGCCACTCCAACAACCCAGAGTAAAATTTTCAGAAAGAAGAGGATGTTGTGGGCTGGTAGACTTTCTAAGTGAAACAGTATACTGCTAACCTAGCCAGTGTGAGGGCTGCTTTTCAAGCAGTGTGCCTTGTGTTAAACCTTACCTTAACCAAAAAACAAAAACAAACAACCCCCAAAAAACTAGCCAGTTGCTAGTGGCTCACACCTATAATCATAGGTACTTGGGAGGCATAGTTCAGGAAGATCAAAATTTGAAACCATCTTCAGTCAAATAATTCTTAAAACCCTAACTCAAAACTCCCTAATGTTAAAGTGCTGGTAGACTGGCGCAGGTAGTAGAGCCACTGTCTAGCTACTGTGAGGCCTTCAGTTCAAACACCAGTACTACAAAAGAAACCCAAATGAAATGCAAACTCCAGATTTTCCATTATCAGAAACATGTAGTACCCACATGATGCTCCAAGAGATAATCTGTTGTGTTAATGTACAAAAACTCTCATGCAATAATTGTGAAAAGAGTTATGTGAGCTTTCCTTCAGGGTGTGAATATATGGTGCATTTGAAGAAAATGAATTCTGGTTTGGATTGGGGCCTGTAATCTTCAATATAGCTTCTTAGGATTATGCAAATACTTCAAAAGCTAAATGATTTTGTTACACCTCTTCCATGTACAATCCTCAAATGCATTTAAATGTAGTCAATAGTCAGTGTTTGCAAAATATTGGAATGGATTCTTTACTTACCTGTAACAGTACCACTGGTGTGATAATAATGTTCCTGGAATCATCCTGCATGTTCACAGTTTACAGGACATAAAACCAGTACTCCTCCTGGTAAGTATTTGAAAAAATGGCTTAGTAATGTGTTTCTTATTATTTCTAGAGGTCAGTGGTAGGGAGATTCTGTGAACACAAAGAAGATATTCAGTGTGGAGAAGCCTTCAGCCATGCTCCAAATCATATTATGAGAAATAATACTCATACTGGAGTGGGAACAAATGAAAACTGCGTGTGTACTGAAATCTTCATCCAGTATCCATCCCTGAGTCTGTCTGTCAGAACTCAGAGTGCACCTGAGCCATGTGAGTATCAAGAATATGGAGAAAACCCATTTAAGTGGTAGGATTCTGGGAAAACCTTTCCTTCTTCTAGATTTCTTCAAAGGCATGAAAGAAGTCATCCTGAAAAGACACCCATTGTATGTAGAGCAGTGTGGAAAAGCCACCTTTCATTTTAGTGGCCTTTGCAAACTTGAACTGACTTGCAGTGGAGAAAAACCCTGTTTGTAAGCCATGTGGGAAATCCTTCTCACATTTGTGTGCTGTTTAAAAACATGAAAGAACTTACAGTACAGAGAAACCCTATGAAAGCAAACAGTGTAGAAAAGCCTTTAGTTCTTCCAGTTACCTGAAACACTCAGGATTTCACCCTGAGTGCAGACCACTTGGAAGCAATGTAGAAAAGCATTCAGGTCATCCAGTTACCTAAAAAAAAAAAAAGAAAGAAAGAAATTCACACTGGAGCAAAACATGCATGTAAACAATGTGGGAAAGCCTTCCATTGGACTAGTAATCTTTGAAGACATGTAAAATCTCAGAGTGGTGAGAAACCCTATGTATGTGAGCAGTGTGGAAAAGCTTGTAGTTCTTCCAGTTACATCAAAATACATGAATGAATTCACACTGGATGAAAGACCTTTGCATATAAGCAATGTGGAAAAGCTTTTACCTCATCCATGTACCTCAAAACACATGAATGAATTCACACTGGAGTAAAACTTTATGAATGCAAACACTGTACGAAAGACTTCCATTCTCCCAGCAACCTTCAGAGACATACACAAACTAACCCTGGAGCAAAACATGTTAGCAGTGTGGGAAAGCCTCCTTTAGTTGAGTGTCCTTCAAAGACATGAACCAAGTCACAGTCAACAGGAGTCCTTTATATGTAAGCCATGTGGGAAAGCCTTTTTTTCCTTACATGTTGTTAAAATGTGTGATCATACTACCACCAAAGAAAAAAAGGAAAAAAAATGGTTACAGTATGGTACAATTTACTGTAACTTTGTCAGCTATCTCTAAATGTATAAAATGTAAACGTGCCAACTAAAAGACAGTGATAGAGTTAATTAGAAAACAAGCAACTTTATGTACGAATTATGAAAAATTATTGTACATATAAAGATATAAAAATATCAGGTATGGAGGAGGCACAAGTTGAATTGAACTTTTGTAAAATATGGTGAAAACATAATAGCAATGTAATAACACTTATCCAGAAAATCAGGAAAGGATTAGATTTTTAGGTGTTCTAATCACAATGAAATTGTAAGGCTCAGAAGTACTGTATCTGGTGGGTAGCCTAATTTAACCACACTGTAATGTATGTATATTTCAAAACATTTTACATTATTAATTTTTTTCCTATATGTAAAAATGAGAAAAATAGACCTTGTAAATCAACCCAAACTCTTAGACCCTTCTTACCTTTGAAAGAAGGTGCCAAAAACATTGGAGAAAGATAGTCTCTTCAACAAATGGTTTGGAAAACTGCATACATACATATACAATTCTGCAACCAGACACCTGTCACCTGGTAACAGTATGAATTCATAATACCTCAAGCTACTGTCTGCGTATTTGGAATTATAACAGTGAAATCTTGTTTTGTGAGTGTATGCTAGTTCAAAAATAAAATTTCACACACACACACACACACACACACACATGGTAGAGGGGAATAGGCCATTCTGAGAGGCCTAGTCATGAAATGTAGAAAGAAAATAAGGCGAGGAAATCCCGTCCATGGGCACAGTCACGTGTTGCACAATTTAGTCATGCATGTGATTGATTTAGCAGATTCCTTGCCAGACATGGAACACCTAATCATCCTTTTTCTGGGCTTAAAACTCACTTTTTGAGCTTGTATAATATAATTTCTAAAGGCTGGTGAAGTGGATCATGTGGCAACTGTGCCATCCTAAAAAGTGTGAAGGCCCTGAGTTCAAGCCCCAGTCCTGCCCCATCCCCCAAGAAAACAAAGTAAAATTAACTTCAAAGGTCAAATCAGACAGAAATGGCAAATGTTGGTTTATATTCAAATCACTGAAATATTTTCATAATTGATATCTGGGCACCATTGTACTCACCTGTAATCCTTCCTGTTTGATAGCAGAGGCCAGGAAGATCACAGTTTCAAGCCAGTGGGGGCAAATAGCTGTAAAAGTATCTTGAAAATACTCAGTACTATTCAGGGCCTATGAAGTGACTCAAGTGGTAGAAGGTCTTTCTAGCAAGCCAGGGCTCCTGAGTTCAAACTCCAGTACTGCCAAAAAAGTCCCAGTTCCAATAGAACTGCTAATGCTTGTTCTTTCTGTACTTTCCCTGGGCATATGTGGAAGGGATGTAATGCCTGTGTTTATGGGTGCACTATTGACCATCGGGAAGCTATGAAATCAGCCTCTGTGTTGAACAACAAATGTACCAATAAAGAAAATTTCATATATCTATATATATACACACATACACACACATGCATAGATGTAGTGTAATATTCATCCATAAAGAAAAATGGAATTATGTAATTTGCAGGAAATTGGATGGAGCTAGAGATCTTCATGTCAAGCAATATGAACAACTCTCAGGAAGACAAATGCTGCATGTTTTATATAATAAGCATAATCTAGAACTTTACATGAATGTGTAAGGGGACTTTTTGGGGTGGAAACCACTGGGAAAGATAGACAAGGCAATACCATGAGAGGGTGAGGATGAAGGGGTGCATTATACGCATCCATGGAAACAGCACAATGAAACCCATTGATCTAAAAGGCAGGGAGGGAGGAGAGGGATGAGAAGAAAGAGTAATAGGCAGGATGAAAGTTATGAAAGTACATTATGGGATTGTATGGTAGCAGCACAGTGAACATCCTTGTACAGTAA